TAAATTATTTTCATAATTAATATTATAATTATAGATATATTTGAAAAATATCATATAATATATAAAAAAAATCTTTAGTTTCATTCTTAATTCAAATTTCATATCCATCACTTATCACATAATATCAAAAATTTTATATCTTTATATTTTTCTTTACCTATCATATAATATATATTCAATTTTCATTATTCGAACCTTATATTTTCTCCATCACCTCTATCTATCATATTATCTTTCATTTTTCTATTCTCTCTCAATAAAAATTGATAATATCAATTGAACTTTTGAAATCTGGTCTCGTACGAATATCTTCTTAATATCATCTATTATCAAAAAATATCGAATTTATATAATGATATTTTATATATTTAATATAACCTCATTATTTTATATCAATATCTTGTTTTATAAGAAAACCCCGAATATATAAATTATATTAATATATTATTTCATTTCAATTATCTATATTTATTTAATATTTTCTATAATTTATATATACAAATTCTTATATTAATATTTTATTTTATTTCAATTATTCAATTATCTCTATATTTTCAAATATTCTCTATAACTTATATATAAATATTTTTTTATGAATAACCTAATCATATCATATCTATAATATATTATATTGATAATTTTCTATATGACTACCATTATCTAATACCATGATATTCATAATCTTATCATCTTCTATTTTATGATCGTTTTAAAGATATTAATTACGTTCTGATCATCGTGAATTAAAATATCTTGGCGAATTACTTTACTCTATGTAAATTGCATGGCAGAAAAGCTTCGATTGAAATCTCTTGTACCTAGCAGTATATTATCCTGCTATGATAAAAACCAGAGATGGGGTTCGCCCACCTGATGTGATTTTGTTCAGCTCTCGCCCAGCGGATGGCAAATCGCCGTCGTGCCGGAGCTGCGAAGTTCTCAGATCACTGCAATGCGCACGATGCTCTTGCTGGTCTGAACCCTCTCTTCTCATCATCTTCGCAGCCAATGAGGCTTTGGATTTTGCTGCTTCATTCACAGCAGTGATACTCAGCATCGAGCAGCTTTGCTGGCCGATGTGCTTACCAAGCCCCGCGGTGCGAATTGGGGGGAGGCTGAAAACTGCATAGGGAGCTGCCTCTGGAGATGAGGATGGTGCCGTGTCTTGCATTGTCTCTTAAAGTTGCAGCTGGAGCACCTCCCGGCCTGTCCATCTGGCGTGGAAATGCACACTAATTCAAACTCGAACCGCGAACACCTCTCGCGTTTCGCTGTCACAACGCTTGAAGGAACTATTCCCCAAACTCATGCTCTTCAAATCTCCCCATGTGCAAGGGATTCATGGTCTCATGTTGTAGCAAAGGATGATCGGTCTAAAGCTACTGCGAGAAGTTACTGATCATATTTTACCCAACAACATCACAGGTTGTGCGTCTACCGTTGGGCTGTACTCCTGAAAGCTAGTGTTACTCATCGGTATTCGTTCGAGCACCAAAACTTGCAGTGTGAAACCGAAGGAGGAAATATTGTTATCAACATCATCCCGAAGAGCTTTCCGGAAGACAACTCACTGCAAGTCAGACAAACAATCACTCCGTGCTGTTCGGGATGCTTTGCAGGGTGCTACATTCAAACTCCCATGGATGCATGACCCACCACTTCACTGGATGATGTTCAACATCTCTCCGAACGGGAATTTCGCACCTGGAGTAGCTGCGGGTCTGGATGGACTAGAGTCAGATCGTTACATGTATGGTTCAAGCAGAGCAAGCCGCAGCTAGTTTCTGATACTTCAGAAAGATGGTCATTGCTTCGACCGCAACCTCGCCCATGAAACCGACCGGTTCGACTGCTTTGGTGTCCCTCAGTGAGCGTGCGCGCGCCTTTCTCGCACAGGAGTCTTCAACACACTGGAACCGCAATAATGCAACGGCAGCTCTGCCGAAAGGCTCTGATCGTATGGTTTAATACTAGCCGAATGCACGGGCAGCCACGCACGAGACACCGACAAAAGCCCTCTGGGCTAAATAAACGAACCGTTTGCCAAGTTTCGGGTTGATGGCTTCTTCAGGTTTCAGGTTTGCCGTCCCTTCTCCCTGTTTGTGGATTGATTCAACTGGGAAGTTCAGGAATTAGAGTCAAACAGAGGGTTTCGCTTCTGGCAGTGCCTGGCAAAGGCACTAATCTATATTATATTATGAGCGGTCGCTTGTCCCGTGATAGCCTACCGGTGCTCGATGCCCGCATGTTGCCAAAATCCAGACCAAGTACAGCACCTACCCATGTGACATGCTGCATGTAACATACATCAGTAGCCCATGGCGCAAACGAAGCCGCTTCACACTTCCTGAGAGTGGGTCCTTCATTCCCCCAGTACCACTCGTTGCTGTGAGCATTACCCCAGCTGCATGAGCCCTCCAAATCAAGACAATGCATCACCGTGGAACTTCCAACGAGCCGCACACAGCTGACCTTCAGCCGAGCCTTTTCCCCCTAGCTGTCGCCGCGTTTGTTTCTTGGTGTAACTTGACACACCAACTTTGGGCCGCCGGGTGCCCGGCTGATGTCCTCGTCACCCAGTGAATTTGGCCTGAGCTTCTCGAGTAGCGCCAACTTTTGCTAATCTGTGGCTTGGGGTGTCGTTTCAGGCGCCCTTTCTTGAACGACCTCAGCAACTACTCTCATGAGAGCAGTGTTGCGACCAGGTGCATCATGGCCATACATTCGGGAAGCCTTTTCCTCCGGCTCTTCGTGCCCCTAGGAAGATACGCTGCACTTGCAAGCTTGTTGCATTTTGACCTGTTACCCCTAACTGCAAGGTCGATCTTGTAAACAGCAGAGCAGCGTCGATTTCGTGTCGGCAACGTCAGGGTTCCTGCGAGCGGCAAGAGATCAGCAGACGGCACATCTGGGGTCTGTGGGAGCCATCTCAATTGCTGTGCATGTGCCAGCAGGGACGCTGTCCCCTAGCTTGTAACTTGTAGCATCTTGTTATCGACTTGGCCTTACGCAGTGGACACCTTCGGACTGAACTGGGGATTTGGCAAGCAAAGTGCTAGGGCGCGTGAATACAGCTTAAGCAGACTTCTTAGCACTAGGATCTCGCAGACTCTTACTGTCCCAGCAGGAGGGAACCAAGCCCTCGCATCTGTGGAAGCTGTTTTCTTCAAGACCGCACATGTCAGGCAGAACGGAGGCTCCTCACCAGCGGGGCAAAGATGTGCCCCTCGAAGGGCAGGCAGAAGGACTCGATCTCAGAGCCTTACGATTGGGGAGTGTAACCGCAAGTACTCCCACGGTCTCCGATTTTCTTGCTGCCCCGAAGCTCTCCTTCCGACTCGGATGAACTGCTGCAATGCAGGAGTTTGCAACAACGCCCAATCTGCAGGTTGTTGGAGCCGCGAAAAGTGGGGCCAGGCCATCAGCAAGCAGTTCCGACCACTGAAATCTATATAACTAGATTAATACCAAAACCTTCTGGCCTGCTGGTTCATCTGCTTTTTCTCCAAGCTCCCGGCACCCAAGGCAGCCCGGTGTACCCCATCCGCTCGGACTCCGCTGCTCCTGTACGGACACAGACAGGAATTGCATTCGTGCTCTTCTGCACTTTGATTCACGTTCCAGAGAGTTTAACTGAGTTCTAGCACGTGTGCTTCTTCGTCCCGAACTTCTAGAGTTTACGACCCTGGAATATTTGGCGAGCAGGCAGCAGACACACACTGGTCAAGCGACACAGCTCCCCCTCATCTGACAGATCGGGTACCGGGTCGCTTCATGTCTTCGTTGGTTGTCAGTCCTACTGAAAACTGGAACGTAGACTCTGGAGACAATCTTCAGTCTTGCGGGGCCGAGGGCGAGCTCTGGTTCCAAGGGGTGAATGCAACCCGAACGGCCTGACACTCTGGGCACGTACCCCGACGATCTTCACTGACCATGATCTTCGCCTGTAGCAGGGTCATTGTGCACATGCTAGAGGCGGGCTTTGCATGCAGGGCTGTCGAGTGCCTCCGCTTTTATCGGCTCGAAGAGGTCCGGTGTGGAGACGACGAGGCGATCCAGAGGGCTGGCGTGGGCGCTGTGTGCTTCGTGCATGAGGCTGAGCTCAGCTGACTCAGATAAATGAATGTTGTGCGGCCCATCGGGCTATTGCCCCCGCAGTCCTAGTTGCTTTACAGCCTTCTTCACAGAGCCAGAATCTTGAGCTTCGGGGTGCACCGCGGAGATCCCAAAACCCCGAACACCGGACATCAAAGCCCAAGCTAAGGAGTTGGGAGCAATCTGGTCGGGCGGCAAGACATATCTTGGCCGGTTTGTGAGGTGCATTTGATACCACCAGAAGTCCAGCTCCTGTCGGAGACCAGCCAGACTTCTGCACATGAAATGCTATGATGAAAACTAGGCAGGCAGTCTACCACTTGACCGGAGGCATGGAAGATTCAAAATGATCCGATGAAGCTCGACCGTTGAGTTGCGCCCACCCAAGCCAAGGCTCGCCAAAGCTCTAAACCTTGAAGCAGCCGAAAACCCTCCATTCCACGATGGCCTGCAACTTCACGGGCGGATGCTCCTCGCAGGGCTCGGGTTTTCATTATTCACTGCGGGACCAGAGAGATGTTTGCATTTACGACTTCGGAGGTTGCACGTCTTTCGTTCTTCGACTCTACTTGGGGCTGCAACTACACAATGCCCACGACTTCCGTGTCCTCTCCGACCAGATTTCGCAGAGTATGCTGATGCCTGTTGGTCTGGACGCGTTCCTCCAGTCGAAAGTCTAAATGGCGGCGGCTGTGCGGAAAGGCATGTGTTCTCGGCATTGAGGAATGGAATCAAGCAGGTTAGACAAGAATGACGGCTGAGCGCTCTGTGCACTAGTGCTATAACTCCGAGCCACCACGAAGCGCATGCCCAGATGGTTCCTGGCGGCAAAAAGCCCAATGCATGACTGGGCACTTCCTTTTAAAACAAACAGTTGAAATTGAGCAATGTTCGAATGGTTCCCGCTTTTACATACCGGCTGAGAAGCTTTCAAACCAGTTTATGGAAGTCGGGCTTTCTGCAATGCGCTCCCAGTGGCAGCAGCCACGTGCATTTCCACCAGGTCGGCGCCCCACGCTGGAGTTCCAAGGAGCCTCTCCGAGCACTTCGGAGCTATCAGTCGAAGCCCCCGCGACACTTCAGTCCCATTTTGAGCTTTCCTAAAACTTGTGGCCCTGCCTTTCGCGCCGAGTCGGTGGAGTGCCAGCTTGACAAGGCACTCCACGAAAGCCGCGCAGCGAAAGGCTGGCGCAGTATGGACATGTTCAGCTCGTCATGACGGACTCTTCTATTGAACCGTTCGTCTCGCACTGCACTGATAGGTGTGCCTTTGCGGATCTGTGGCTGGCCGAGAGCTGCGAAGCCTGAGAACGCAAGCAGCGAATCTGCGGCCCTGCAGCTCCACGTGCGAACTGCCAACAGTTACCACCGCAGTGCCACTCTTCGCATGCTCTGCTTCATAGTCTGGGGCAACCAAGGACCTATTGCGGCGAGACCGCAGTGATTTTCTGCATAAACCTTACCAGCGCCTCACCCCTTCATCTGCTACCTCTTGGAGGCGTTGACTGTGGAGGATCAAGTCTTGCAAAGGCGCTTGGACCACAGCAACCGCTTTAATGATTAGTCCCAACCTGCTACCAGTAGGACAGTGACTGCAAAATGCAGCTGCTACAGCTATGACAGTGAGAAGTCGTGTGCTGGTGTGCTGCATGCTGGCATACGCTGGCACAGCCGCACAGCGCTCGGCTTCGGGCCGGGTGCGGCACTTGTTGGCCGGCTTCCTTCAGGAACCCACGTGCTCCTGAAAGCGGAGAAATTTCCCTCCGATCAGGCTGGTGCCCTGGCCGGCCTCTTCACCTGCTGCGCCAGAAGAGTTGAGCGAGCCTGACATGGCATCTCTGGGCTCTTCGTGATCACTCCTTGGAATACTCCGTCATACTCCGTCAATCAAACGCGATTTGCCCTGCACAAAGGCCACACGAAGACTTATATCTTCGATGCGATCTGCACGAATCGAGCTCCGAGTGCACGCAACCAACGTCGTGTCTGCCCTCTTTGCAACACAGCGTCACGAGTGCCCCGAAATGCACAAGTACAGCTACTACCTCTTCCTGTGAGGCTGCAAAGAAAGCAATTGGCATCCGCACACGATCCCAGCACCCCTGCGAACCACCGGCAGCTGTGAGGCCCGTGATCCGCGGCCTGTGTAAGCTGTAGCTTCTGCCTCCGGCGGTGCTCCCGGGCCAGAGCCAAAGCACGAAACGCCACCTGCCTCAGGGCTTGACTGTGCGACTATGCGCGACTTTGAGCTTCTTTGGCCCAGCCAGACCCTCGCACCCTAAGCCATTTCTCAAATTGGAATGTGTCGGAGTTCATCTGACAAGCATCACCCTTCGTGGATGCCTGGACATGGTCCCATTGCTCTTTGCACCAAGCTGAGCAAGGCCGGTGGCCAGGTCCTGGCATCTTGGTGTCGGCGGAAACATGACTCGGAAAGGTCGAAGTAAGTGTGTTCGCGTTCCTACCCCTGGGATGGAGATCCCTTCTCAGGCCGCGTCTGCGCCCAACAAAACTAACGATTGCCTAAGCGAGGATGGAAATGCAACGAACACCTCACTCGAGACCACTTCGAGGACGTGTGGGTTTTGTTTGTCGTCCTGTTTCTGGAGTAATGCCGAGGCTGGGGAAGAGGCGTGGTGCAGGTTTGCAGTGTCGGATCGTGTGGGCCGTCCGAAGCTTCTCTTAATAATAGAACTAAGTGTTGCCTAGGCCCCAGTCGGGTGGCACAGTTACTATGTTATTTTGTTTTTATGGCACCTTTTCTCTACGCAGAGGTCTGCGTTGAGAAAGCCAATTCTGACTGCCGAGGCATGGCAGCTCGAGCTGGGCCATTATCTCTGGGGCTGAACCATGATCAATCAGTTGTCATTACTACGAGGAATCGTGATTATCCCTCTGGGTACCGCAGCTCTCTTGCTGTACTCTTCCCCAACCTCCTAAGGGCACAGGTTTCGCCCCATTGAGCTGGGATTCCAGACGGGCATACGCGGCTCCAGGCAACATGTCAGTTGGATAGACAGAGTTCGTGCTTCAGCGGCGACTCCTTCTCTGTGGGGATGCAGTCGGGGCTCAAGGCCATGGAGACGGCTTTCCTTGTCCCAGCAGACGCTAGGAAAAAGATGTGCCTTGCTAAGAATTCTCGATGCTTAAAGCTACAATGTTACTCTGTGCTTTTATGAGCAGAAGCCCAAGCGTCTGTATGAAGGTGCCAGCGGAAACCTCCTGATCGGAATTCGCAGGCCCAAAGAAGGACTCGAGGCGACTGGAGCCGCCCCTGCCGGGAAAAACGATCTCGAGGCTTTGAGGGGTTATAGCAGCACTGCGGCACTGATGAGTACTGGGATGTTCTAGACGTGCCGGCGCAGGAAACGCCGCACAAGCCCACGGTGCATCCACGATGGTGGTGATCCACTCATCCATCCATTTGAGATCGAATGGAGGCTTGCAGAGTGAGCCTTTATGTTTGACTCAACTTTTTGCAGCAATCCCTTTGACTGTGCGGGACCCAATAGAAGGAAAACGTCCAACAGACGCTGAAAGCCCGACTGCACCTGGCCTAGACTCCCGCTCCAGGATTTTCTCGTCCAGCGCCTGAATGGCAGGACGTGGCAGGATCATCTGAGAGGGTCTTCCATGCCTGGCTTCTGGCTGCAAAAGCTGCATGCTAAGGCATACGTCCAACCCGTTGTTTCCTCGTCCCCAGCCCCTTCCGACCCTGTACCCATGTTCCGGGACTTGAAGAAGCAAGCACGTCACAGCGCCTCGAGGAACAAGCGTGTTGCCCGCTCAGACGACGAGAGCATCTCAGCGAGGGGTACTTGGCCCACAACAGAAGTTTGAAGCAGCAAAGGTTCCCCCCCAGATCGCGCACCTGTTCAGGCTTTAGCATGAAGCAGTCGGCGACGCTGGCTCGATCGCGGGCAGCTTTTGCCTTCCGAAACAGGTGAGGGCTCAATGCCGCCTGCTGTCTAGAACTTCTTGGATCCTGGCCATTATCTATGCTGCAAGGCATCTTGATTTCGTGAAAACAAGAAGAACGGCTGCCTTGGTCAGGACCTTGTCCAACTGATACACCTGGCAGAATCTTGCGGGAATTCTCTCAAAAGTGGGTCTGCGAAACTAATCTGCCTAGGGTATGCTGAGCAGTGCGATGCTACTCATCTACTTAAGCCTTGCCTTTGCATCTGCTTTTCTTGGCTGTCCTGGAGGCGCCCTAGCCCATGTTCTCAGAGCTTCCATGAAGTCCCAGAGGCCGTGATTTCCACCGGGTGCCCTTTCGGGGCCATGGGCAGCAGCATGGCGAAGCACTGCTCGAGCCTCGTACGACAAAATGTAAGTGCATAAGCGCAAGCACGAGACATACCGTCAGCGTGCAGCGACAGCCTCGCGGCGTCGCGTCGCGTGAGAAAGGCCAAAGCTGCGCAGGACTTCTCGCATGTCTTTGATGCAATTTCATGCATGCGGCGCTCAGAAGCGCCAAGCTCCGACGAAGTTGGGATCTAATACAGGTTGTGCTGCCCGACTCCCGAACACGGTATTCACATGCAGCACCTCGACTCGATAAGTGCGCCAGTCAATTTCGCGGCGGGCGGTAGAAGAAGCGGAACGGGTGTCGGGAATTGTGAATGCCTTTGGTCCTCAAGCTCTGTCAATGCTGAGACAGCTTTTGTGCTTTCTGGGTGATGTGCACCCTGTCGCACCATGCCTTTTCAGCATCGACCTCCTAGCTGGTGTCACTGTGAGTAGCATCTGAGGTTGTGTTGGACATTGGGGACTGGTTGCTACAGGATTCCCTGTAGAAACTGCTCTTGGCTTCCAAAGGCTTCTGCATTCGAGCATCTGCTTTGGCGAGCGTAGACCGCCGGCTGCATCGGACATATAACTGAACAGTGTATGTACGGTTATGTACGAGTACCGACAATGTCCATCCCTATAATCGGCCGAGCAGCTGCGCTGCGGTGATGAGACGCTGGCCAGGTGGGGATGCAATCCTTGGTTCGGAAGGACCAGGATCTACTTCAGAGGCACCAGTTTTGGGGATTCTGTGCCTCCCTGCAGCCACGGTTCTCCAGAAGCTCGCTGGCACCTGTGCAGCCCGAATCCAGATCAACTAGTTGCTGATGCTCTGGCGTCAGCCCCCAAATAGCGTGCCCAAGCGGCAGGAATATCCCCACACCAGCTGCCCTTTAGCCATCGGTCCGTAAATCACGTCCTCTCCTTGTGTTTGGAACCGAAGCTTCTTAGATGTTCTCAGTCTTAGTCTCTGCAATGAGCCCTGGCAAGCGGCTCAAAGTCAGCGAAGGCGGCAGCTGCCTAAGGAGGCGACGGCATGCTACGGCCAGGTGCTTGGGGCTCGCGATGACTTGAAGCCGCCTCCTACACATCCTACACTCGATCCCTCCTTCACCTTGAATGGATCTTGAAATGGTCTGAGCCGGCTTCCGCAGAATCACGCCAGGTCACGTCACCCGCTGCCCTGCGTTGCCAGCAGAGTTTTTGCGGCCCTCCTGCAAAGACTTCACAAGCGCCTTGCTGCTTCAGCTCATGTCGAACTGTTAGCATCTGCCAGCGTGCCTTGAACATTGGCTCCTTGCGCTTCTTTGGCGCTTCAGCGCGGGCCTCACCCTGGCGTGGTAAGTGGCCTCTACACCTCTACACCGACTCTACAAGCCTCCAATAGAAGCATCTCATGCAGCACTCTGGTGGTATGTGGGCAGCGCCTGAGGTGTCGAAGGCGATGGTGTCGCCTCGTCTTTCTCTGTGCGCGACTCCTGCAGCGGCGGAAGCGGATTTGGGCCTCCCCCTGAACACAATCAGCACAGGAACGGTTTTGAACTCCGTGGGAAGCCCACGAGGCTTTCACCATGGGAGACAAGCGCAAACGTGGAGAGTGATGTGTGCCTTGAAGCTCCGGAGTCTGCGAATCACACGTGATGGCGAAGGCGGCGGCCGCACGTCCTGAAGGCACTGAGTTTCAGTGGCCGCTCTGAGGCCCCTCTGAACCCTGCTGGGGTCCTCCAGCTCCTCAAGACAGAAAGGCATCCGCTGGACAACCAGGTCCGCCAGGCGCATGAAACGGCTGGCCAACCTCGGCTTGGGCATGCTTCGGCCTTGGATGCCTCGATGCTCGCCGAGTCCCTGACCAGGTTTCCAAGGCGGCAAAGAAGAAGGCGACGTGCTGCCTCGGTCCGGAGTCCCAACGAGTCCCAACACTCGTGGCAGTCGCACGCTCCGCATGGCTCCGCCCCACTTTCTGCAGAGCTGCTCGAGCTCTGTCATCTCGTGCAGCGGCTTCTCCAAGAATCCCAGCTCGACCTACAAATCTGGGATTCGCCGGCTTTCTCTTCAAGAGGTTTACGTTTGCAGGGTTTCCCTGGCCTGTGGAAGCAACGCAGCAGCTGCCGCGGAGGCCTCGAATCTTCAAACTCTGGAGATTGCACTCATGCCTTGCACGGCTGACACCGGCTTCAGCAGACTGGATGCATCCCTGGCCTCCTTTGTCACTCTTCTCCGTGGGATCTGGCGCAAGTCCGCTTTAAATTCGAGCTTTTATGGGAGGGCCCTGCTAGCCGCTGCTAGCCTTGCTGCCTCTGGTTAGCGGCTAGCGGCTGGCGTGCAACTGCAGTTTGGGTGCCCGGACATGCAGGCTTCTCAAAGCGCTCTGTGCTCTTTATGTCTCCATTTGTGTTTAATGTGAAGCCTTGCACGCAACCGAACACATTTGGGTGGCCTGCAGCTCGGCAACCACGAGTTCCTCATGCCCAAACGTGGAAAGCACATGAACTGGACAAAGTGGCCACGATAGATTTTGCAGCAAGGCTTTCGATTCAAAGTTCATCATGGTCTTGGAGTGTTGTGACAGATCGTCCACAGGCACTACTGCTGAACGCACACTTGCGTCTCCCTGCCGGATGTGAGAAGCCTCCGAACCTCTACGAGAAGTTCCGCTGTCCTCTGCGGTTTCAGCGGAGTCGTAGATCTGCCGAAGCTCGTCGTACGACCTGGCTTACATGCTGATCGTTCCTTCTGGGATTTTCTTCGAAGTGAAAGAGCCTCATGGTCTCATGCTTAGTTTTACTCTTGCGGGCCCTTTGCTTTTAGCCAAGCAGTGCCAACACCTGATTAACAAACAGGTCAAGCCTAGTGGTGGGGCCTTGTTCGGTGCATCTCCCCATTCAAAAATGCTCCCATACCCTGATTCCCGATAGCGCAACTAACTTCTTTGCAGTGCTGTTTTTCGCAGCCACTTTAGCCAGTTCGGTCCGGCGAGCCTGGCATCCCTTAACCAAACTAAACGTTTGACTCAAATGAGGAGGTGGTGAGAGCTTTTTGGGCCTTGTGTTCTCGTGCCTGCCTGCTTGATGTGGGTGCAGTGTAGCGGGCTAAGCGCTTGCATAAACTTGCGTTCCAGACAAAGCTGCTTTCTCTCCTGCCTTGGATGCCTACTCGTATCTTTCGCAAATCTCTTTGTGTGCTGTCTTGACTTGAACATGGAATTCCAATAATCCTGTCCGGCACCCCCTTTCTCCTCGTGTACATGTGAAAGTTGCATTGGTCCTGGTGCCTGCATGGACGAATGAGGCTTGTTGATCTTGAGTCAAAGAGCCATAAGAACCATGCTCAATCTCTCCAAGCTTGCCCAAGGCTGGGGCATCAAGTTTTTCAAAGCGAGGCTGGCCGGCGCATGGTTCGGAAAGAGCTCGAACTCTACGCAGAAAGAGAAGAAGGCGTGAAAGGACATCATGTCTGGAGGCCCCTCCTGGCAGTGCTTTGAAGTCTGGGCTAGCTGCAGGGAGATTTGGAGGCTAGAGCTCCTGCCCCGAGAGTTGAGCCGTTCCCCGAAAACAAGGATGTAGCGCCCGTGGCTTCAGGAACTTCGCCGGTGGTAGCTTCTCCTCACCCCCGGCGCGGTTGGCCTTCTCAGATTCCGAATGCTTTGCCACGCCATGCTCATATGCTTGACAACGATAGCTTTTGGCATCGTAAAGTCTTCTGTCCTCATTGAGTCATGATGGTCACTCGCCCAAGCCTGCTAGGAGCCTCCCAAGCGAAAAAGCCAACCGAGCTCCCGACAGCGTTGGCAACGTTTCGCCTAGGCGGAGGACAAACGATGGCAACAGCAACACCAGCACCAAACCCAGCAGCAGCAGCAGCCAGCCACATCAGCAACCTCAACAATACGATTATGATGCCTCAGGGGAAAGAACAGATGCAAACTAGAACCAACCAAGATACTGCTACATGCGCAGCAACAACAGCGACGATTGCTGTAAAGATCCAAGAAGGTAGTAATCATAGCCGAACGAAGACTACTGATGCCAACAGCGACGAGAACAGTGGCCACGACAAATTTCGATTCAACTTCCTAACCGCAACAAAGACGATAATTTGGCGCGGTTAGAATCGGGAATTTGTAATTTCCCGGCCCCGGGCACAAAGTGGGCACACGAGGACTCAACTAAATGTGAGTTGGAGGAGGCAAGATGCGGCAACTAGTCGCTAGGTGGGGGTTGAGACTAGTACTTGTAACTGGTCAGTTGCAAGGCGACGGGAGGCTCGATTTTCCTGATGTGAGTTTTCTATCGAATCTGGCACATGCCGGTTTACAGGTGCCATGGCCTGAGATCCTGCTGCGATCCTTCAAGAACTGTTTAACTGATGGCAAGGTGAGCGGGAAACTCAACACGCGACAATTCAGCTTTCTCATTGTGTGATCGCATGTCGACGACAGCTGCCTTCTTTCGATGAAAAATAGACCGTCAACAACATCTACTGCTATGCCTGCGGATGCTACTCTCTACTCGTACCCTGCAGAATCCCGAATACCCGCGGCAACAACAGTAGCACCGGCAGCAGCAACGACAGCCACGCTCAGGTAAACCAGGGAGAGCAGAAACATGCAGAAATTACCATCACGGCATCACATGTGAACACAACGAACAGCGAGACTTGAGGGTAGCTGGCCGCTGGCACGTCTTGAATAGTCCGATTCCTAAATGCAGCTCAAAAATCTGCAGATTTGAGTCTGCTCAACACATGCTGGCTTTCAGCGGCAGCCTTACAGTAGCATCTTTGCTTTCAAGGAGAGCGGGACGGGAACGACCCGGGCCTGAGGTGCACATCCTTTCTGTATATGAGGTTCTGCAATGCCTAGGTGGCAGGTTTACAAGGCAGGCCAGTCGCGTGGGCAGGATCAGCTGGGGCCGCCGTTGCGAACCTGGCAAGCGGCATGGCCAAGCAACACATGGAAGCCTCATGCCACGGTGTCGGCAACGTCCTCGACTTTGCAGGACATGCTCGCCGACGTATCGTTTGAACTGTCTGACCACGTACCTGAACTATCGAGCCTCCCAACACTGAGCCACGTTTCTCTGCGCCCTCCGCTGGAGCGCCTGCAGCAGGCGCTGGCTTCGCGTCAGTGTTTGCGAGCTTGGGAGATGGGCATGTCGGGCGCCCGCATCAACAAGTGATTCCATCGCAGGGCAGGCTTTTCTTGAGGCTTGCGAATATGCGCGGACTGCAAAGTTGAGATTTTAGCCTTAACAGCTCAGCACCTGCCTGGTGCCTGGCCTGCTGCCTCCGTGGCGGGCGCGTCGGAGCCCTTAGAGGAGCGACAAGATCGACAAGCATCGAGTTCTTCAGCGACGCGCACCCCAAATCCAAGTATTGCTCTTTGAGCCGCCAGGAAGCGATGCAACTGCGTGTTATGCGTGCCCTCGTTCAGAGAGGGACTGGTAAACTTTGATGACGTGGCTCTGGACCCATTAGGTCATTCGGTCAAGCGAGATTTATCAGCAGACTGAAGCCGCAGCTGCAGGGCCAGCTTGAGAGTAAGTGATAACCTGCACGTACCTGCACTATGCAACCGACTATGTAACCGCTCTCGGTGCTGTGGGAGAGTGGCCTGTTTCACCTTGGTCTATGAAGTGGCCTAGGGCCACGCCAACAAACTATTGATGCATGATGGGGCTGAAGACGCTGCCAACAGGTCCGAGCGTATCCGAGCTCCCGGGCACATTCTGAGGAAGAGGAGGCTAAGGCAGAGGGGTCGGTCGGCTGGTAGTCGGCCTTGGCACTCAAACTCTCGATTTGGTCGTTCTCACAACTGGCATAATGAGGATCGGACCATATGTTCATCTGCATACTCGTCGAATATGCGAGAGAAAAGCGGCCTGGGCAAACGCAAGCAGCACTTGGGACTGCAAGCTCAGGGTGCACAGCCATGCTATGAAAAAGGGTTGACACGAATGGGCGACGAAAGGCTCAATTATCCGTCTTGCCTTCCCCAACTGTAGCATGATTGGAGTGCTTGCCGGGCTGTAGCCCCAGAGGCTTATACCGATCCCTCTAAGCATCTCACAAGAAGCGACTGGCAAAATGAAGCACCTGCGCCAGACTGCACACGGTGGGATGAGAAGTCTAAGAGGCATGCAGCCTACCAGCAGTAGCGTTTCCTTGTCTTTGGCTGTTCCCAGACCTCCGGCTCCAGCAGCTGGCTGGACAAGAGCTCGCCGAGCACAACGCGCGCTGTGTTCTCGTACCTCAGAGTCTCAGAGCAGCTCCGGACAGAGGCTCCCGCACACGGAAGCCGGCACTTGGCGGCACACGACAGTGCACACGACACACAGGCCCCAGGTAAAAGGAGGCTGAGGCCACGGCAGTGCCCTGAGGTGGGACGAACCTGGCTTACTAGACTTCAAGACGAATCAAACAAACGCAATTTTGAGCGTTGCAGGTTGCAGCACCGCATACGAGAACCTTGCCTTATGCTCCTCTCGCGTCAATCATGCCAGCTAGGCTCTGCTGATTGACTTCTTCTTCCCACTGGCGAATGCCATCTTTCCACTGCTGCAAACCCCTGTCGGAAGAGCAATTGCTGCAGCTCTGCATTTTGGGCTTCAGGTTTTGGGTCTGAGATGTGCTTCCATGGCCTTGGAAGATACACATGTAGACCGCAGTTCCAACAGCTCCAGATTTTCAGAGACCAGCCTCTCGGAAATGACATACCGCGGTGGTAGCGGTGGCCACATCCCCTGTGGCGGAAGCCGCAGCGTCGCTTCTGGTGCCTTGCATCGACGAACGGCTTCGGGGTGTCCCGGCGATGGCGTGTCTGTGCATGAAGTACAGGTATGGCATGCCGCAATTAATCCTGAAACAGCTGGCGCTGGCGGTAACGGGTTCGCACACCAGAAGGGCCGATTCGCGAACTAGCGATTCTATTCGCGGACGGTGGAAAACTGGCCACGATTCGCACACGGACCCAGCCGACACCAGTCCCGCTCCAGGGCTTCCCTCCTGCTGCACGAGGGCCTTCTCAATCGTTTAAAAACGCAGGTCTTTGAAATTGTCACCAACCCACCTTTGCCCAATGACGGAGCAGGTTTGGGAAATGTCGTCAACTGCTATCGTGCAATGAGGAGGCGGACCCTCATCGCCTCCGATTCGTACTTGAATTGCGCTTTCCTCGTGCCGGAATCGGCTGGTGCTTGAATCGGGCGTTCGGTTCTCGAATCGCGGATTTTTGAATCGCAGCTGATGCTTGAATAGGGGTTCTATACGTCCTTGCTGGACAATGCCGCGACAAAAATCCTCAACCGTCGCCTTCAGGATTGGAACCGTCTCCTCAGGCAGCTCTATGTTCACCTCGGGCAACGGGCTTTGGGGACGCGGGTCGCGCCACAAAGCGAATGCCATGAGGTCCTACGCTCCAAAGTGCTGACATCCAGGGTGAAGGATGGCTTAATTAGTTCAAAGTTCAAAGGTGATACAGTAGATGGAATGTCTGAAGTGTGTTCGCTCCAACTATGTTTCAGGCCCCAGTCACTGACATTTTCCGCTTGTCCGTGTTCCTCAATCGCTCTGCCTGTGTCGGAAGCGGGTGGATCTGCGAGACTCTCGCTGCAAGCTCGGGAAACTGCAGCTAGAAGAACAGTAGCCGAAAGACAACGGCATAACATGTCGCATGCATTCATCTGCCAAACCTCGAATCTGAGCCCGTAACACCTAAGCATGCTGGCACCGTCCCACAACCCTTCGCCTACATAAGTCAGAGCTTGAGCAGTCTAATTCACCAACCTTTCTGCTCTTTGGACTCTTTGGCTTCTCTGTCGGATCCTTCTCTTTTTCCTTGTCCTTTCGGGCTGGAGCGTTGGAAATGCTTGGAGACGGTGTGGCCATCTAGTATCCACGGATCCAATCTTATCGCGCATCTGCTTCCTGTCGAACAAGCCAAAGACGCCAGAAAGGGCTTTTTGATAACAAAAAGGAGCGCCACAGCTGGCCTTCTCTTTGTCCTTTTCCTTCTCCTCGTCTTCCTCAACCTGGCAGTCCAGGAGCACAGTAGCATCCAAAGCTACGGCGGCAGGACGTCAGCATACGTTCCATCATGCGATCCCGTCTCTGCGTACCAGCACAGGTGCGACAGCTGCTCTTCGACGTTGCATGAAAGGGAAGCCCCCTTCCGAGAGTTTCACACTCCGAGCCAGCCTTGGGCAGAGTTGTTGGGTCGATCCACCTGGGCTCGATAAGGGGACAGACTCTGTGGCACGAAACGGCGAGAAAAAAAGGGTCCACGTCAGGGGCCCATGTGTTTCATGTTAGACAGAGGCGAAAGTCCACCGTCCGCACTACGAGGATTCATCCAAGGCACAGAAGGCTTTCGACAAACGGCAGCCGCGAGATGGACTCGTCCAGAGCCTTCCGCCGAGCCTTCGAGGGAGCTGTGAAAAGTGGATGCGGAGATGTGCCTAAACGCCGATCCCATTCGGGATTTGGCAGCGCCACAGAAAAGCCCTGCATAAGGCAAACTGGGGAGTCCCTCTCTACATATATGCAAATGTATGTACCAGTCTATATATAGTCTATATTATATATATGTGTGTGTGTGTGTTAATTATATAGACCTTCTTTACACACATACATACATACAAAGGTGCGTGCGCGTGTGCGTGAATGTGTTCGTGTGCATGCACGGGTGCATGTGGGTGGGTGTGGGTGTGGGTGTAGGTGTAGACGTGGGTGTGCGTGGATGTGTGTGTGGGTGTGGGTGTGGGTGTGGATGTGGGGTTGGGGCCAAAATCGAATACAATGGGGCTATATGCAGGTACTTCTGCGATGCATGCACGTATGTGAGTGTGAATGTCTGGATGTGGGTATGTAAGTACGTAATCACGAATGTACGTACGCATGTATATAATATGAACTCAAACAAACAGATCATACACATGATGGGCGACCTCTAGCAGCAATTCTTTGCACTTCGCTGGGTGGCTCTAGACCGGTCAAGTGGGTGGGGGTTGGGCACTTGACTGGACCGAGTTGGCTGTTCAGCTATTCAGTTTCCCTCGTGTTCCGAAACTACAGCATTCAGTGTTCGATTACGGAGTCACGTGGTCAAAGACCAACTGCACACACACACACACACACGCGCGTGTATGCAACACTGTGTTTCTGCCATACAATATCGAGTTAAGGGTGTCGGGTGTCTGTGCATGGCAGGGACTGTGGCCGAGAGGGCTCAGGTACGGATCCACACGAACACTCGAGCTCGAGCCAAGACCTGAGAGTCGGCACGGGATGTGGCTCACTTGGCGAACCCCATTATCCCCCTTTCTAGAATTTGTTCGACGTCCTTCACCGGGGGATACGGACTGACGTGCCCATTGCGTGCTTGCCCTAGATCCTCCTGAAAAAAGTCTAGCCCCGGGAGATGTGCAGCATTTGCAACAAGTACTTATCGCCGTGATGGCGCAACTGCTGGGCAGCTGCAGTTGACAAACTATCCATCTGCCTCCTCGCTTGCCCTGGCCTCACAGTGAGAGTTGGCAGTGCGTAGATGGTGATCCAAGAACCGCCGCACCTGCATCAACGAGCCGAGGACAACACACGGCTTTGGGGTTGTTTGGGAGGCACATACCAGCTTGAGATGCAGCTACCTCTTTGCTTCTCAGCTCCTCCACGTGCCCGTTGCTGAGTGCTTCAGTAGCGCAATACATGGTGTAGGAACCCAACACTTTGTCGGCTTGCCTGCGGTGGCAGCTGCCGAACGACTTTGTCACTGAAGGCAGATGCCATCCTCGTGATGGCCGCAGGTTCCATGCTGGACTCGAGAACACTAATCGTTGTGCCTCCAACAGGTTCCAACAGAAGATAACGGACGAAACCGCCGGTCCCAACCCGAGAACTCATCTTCTTCTCCTCGCTGCGGGTTTGTGCAACAAAATTGCAGCCGGGGAGCAAGGATGCCTCGCAGCCAGGCGGCAACACAATGCCTACAGGCAGATTGCTGAAGCCACGTGGCAACTTGCTGAAGATGTTGAGAATTGAATGGTTGTCTGCCCGCTGATGGGGCTGGGGTTCAGGACTTTGTTTAGGGCGTATTTAGGGATGCTTGAGCGTTCTGCTGCGGATTCTTTTGCTAAAACGAGCTGGGTTGAAGGTACCTCGGGAGTTGAGCGGAATTCTTTATAAGGTAAGGACACCTTTCTCAAAGGCGTACATTCGCACGTGGGTTTAGCCCATCTTGGGCCGGCTGCTTAGGCTTCCAAGGTTCTTGGACCAGGGTTTCTGGGCAAGGGACCCATATCGGGGTTCTCCCGTTTTTTTTGTAGCTGTGCATGACAGGCTGTCGCCAAGACACTTGAATTCAACTTAGGACAAATGCCCGTACTGTAATACCCTATTGACACCAAACTTTCCGCAAGACCTTATAACACAATGAACACGGCGGTGAATACATGGCAGCTGGATCAGCTTGTTCAGGTTCACAGCAGAATCTCGGAAGGCAAGTGCATGACGAAACTGTACAATGCCTGGCTATCCTGCTTTCCTACTTGTAGTATGCCGGGTTAACATCTTTCAGCATTCTTTGTTTCTCGCAAGCAAGCCTACGCATACTCGTTTTTTCGGCTGGGCACAGGAGTTTTGTTGCATCTTGACCGTGTTGAAGAATCGCTAGCACAGGGTATGCCCTGAGTTGTGGAAGCTTGGTTCGTCTGGCCATTCGCATGTGATCCCCTACGATGGCCACGTTATCAAATATAGCCAAACAGTCAAAATGGTGTGCACTTGGCGAGTCGCCTCAATACGGCACAAAGCTCATGTCCCGGGTCCCAGCCGGCGCCTGAAAGGACCCTCAAAAGAAGGTTCCGAGGCATTCCGAAGAAGGCCTGGCGGCTTGAAGGACTTCCGCTTTCATGATTCGAAGTCTGCTGGCAGCTGAGCAACTAGTGCACAGCTCGTCGAGAGCAGCACACCCGACGCAACTGGCGATGCAACACTGAGGATCCCGTTTGACCGATTTGCCTCGTATCGTGTTGCGTGCGCATCGAATGCAGCAACGCCTCAGTGGCACTCGCAGCTTCAATCCGGCGAGGTTAGGAAGCTCAGCACGTTAGTTGTCTCGTGTTCAGAAGACACACCTCCAACATCACAGGAACCACACCGACTAGGAAATACCAGCAACTACAGTACCCGTCGCCGGCCACAAGCGCAACCGATGTCTTCAAGACACGACTGAGCCTTCTGTGTGGCAGCAACCAAGGCCCCAGCAATCCTGGTAACGATGGGGCGAGTCGCGGCTCCCACAAAGCTTGGAGGCTAGCAAGAACCTGCCATTTCGCCCATGGAATCTCAGCACGAATACAAGCTCAAACGAACAAAAACGCAGACGCATAATGGGGCCATGACAAATTCTAGCGCACCCTGTATAGACGAGTGCAGACGTAGATAGATAGATAGATAGATAGATAGATAGGTAGATAGGTAGATAGGTAGATAGGTAGGTAGATAGGTAGATAGGTAGATAGATAGGTAGATAGGTAGATAGGTAGATAGGTAGGTAGATAGGTAGATAAGTAGATAGATAGGTAGATAGGTAGATAGGTAGATAAATAGATGGATGGATGGATGGATGGATGGATGGATGGATGGATAGACAGATAGACAAAGATAGATAGATAGATAGATAGATAGATGGATAGATAGATAGATAGATAGAGAGATAGATAGATAGATAAAGTACATGAAGACAGACAGACAGACTGGCAGAAGAAGACAAATCCAGCGGTATACGTATGTACGTCTGTTGCTCAAGAACACCAAGCCTGCAGAAGATGGGCCGCAGCACCAAGGGCCCCTCCCGATCGCGGAGGTAACCCGCACCTCGCAAAATCTGGGTCAGTTCAATGCCCTTCTGCACTGCTCTGACAGCTTGCATGTCGTCTCAGTAGGTACCTTCCCTCATGCCAGCGAGTCGGAAGGTTTACAGTAGCATTTTGCTGAAGTCGCCGCTGCGTAGCCTGCACCTCCGACGTCGGTGCTGGGCGTTATCGGGCGCCTTGGATGCCACGGAACGCAGTCATCCATCGCTGGCACAAGAGGAGATCGTAGACAGTGTGCGAAAAGCATTGAAGGATATTGAAGGTGTTTGGCTCGGAAGCCATGATGGTAGCGATCCGCAAAGGCCCTGGCCCTGTTGGGCTCCCCGAGCCGAGTGAGGCGAGCATGGAGGCGAGGAACATGTCCGGGCTGTGGGCCACCTTGGCTGCCGAAATCATTGCCTGAAGTCCTGAAGGCCTGTCGAAATCTGGAGAACTCCATGCCAGCAAAAGATCCGGGGCCGCGGCAGAGGAGCCGCCCGGAGGGAGGACAAGGTGGACGTAGGCGTCCACACATTTCTGGGCTCACAACCACTCTTGGCGAAAGCTACTTGTAAGCGTCAACCTCCACAATTTATCCAAACGGCGGGGCAGATCTTCCGGAACAGAATATAGTGTGCCAAGGAGTTGCAAGGGATCTCGCAGTTGAAGCAAAGTGGAGGGCTTGACATGTTGAATCCGTGAGGCCTTGCGACAAGACATTACACTGCTTCGACCTGTCCGAGGTCCGAGGTGCAAAGAGCTGCGCTAGCTCACGTGGCTCGTAGAGCGTGTTGATATCCGGCAGGTCTTCTACCTGACACGACGGCCGACGGCTTCCGCAGCTTGTACTTCCCAGCGAGCTGGAGCAAACTCTACGCACCACTTCACGAGATTGAGCTCTCATTCCAGCGAATCTGCTGTGCGAGAATGCAGCCTTGCGTTTGATGCTCAGCACTTGGGGGATGTGCTTCCGGGGCATCGCCGGCTTCCACACTTCGCCTGAGCTTGGTGCATGGTGGTCGCCGTGATAGCGGGCTAATGAGTTGCGGCAGGCTAGCTGTAAAGCAGCAAAGCGTGGCACAGACTGAAGCGCCGCCCGCTGCCCTATACGAGTTTCCAGAGTCTGTCTCCGCAGTGGCCTCTTTATCAAACATGTGTAGAAAACCTGAATCCGAGCGGCTTGCATGTTGCACACGTTGTGAGTAATTTTTCGCGCGTGACAGCGTGACATCTGAGCCGCCACGCTCTCTTTGGAACTTCGCCTGCGTCCTCCACCGCCCGCTCCGCCCTGTCTCCACAGCAATGCACGACCATAAGTCAATTTTGAGGGATCTAAAGATCCACGTGGCCTCATCATCCGACTGCAGTTCGGTGCCTGAATCAAGGCGAATTGCAGCATGTATCCGGCAGGCGAAGATGCTTCAAGGACATCCGAAGCTTAACAAACCGACGTAGAAGCTGGCATGAATCTCACGCTTGCGCTTCTGAGAGGTCTTGCGCAGTAGAAGCATCAGACTGATCGGTTCGGAGACACAGAACATTGCTGGTACTTGTAACCAACTGGTGTTCGACATCTGACGCTGTCAGAACCCAACCGGCCAAGGGCATTGCATGCTACCTTTGGACCTAGGGACCTAGGGGCCAGTGCCAAAGCGGCTATCCGATGAGAGCAAACCTCTGCGGAGCCTTCTTCTTCCGAAGAAGTAGCAGATGATCCCTGGCGTGCTCAGGGACCATCGTCGCGCTCAAGTTTGGGACGTGCAGTTGAAATCGTGTTGTGCAATCATGCAGCGCAGGTTCAATTCCAACAGAATTGCACGGGCTTGCATGCAGTAACTCTTGTTTTCTTCCCTCAGGTTCGTAGCCTTCCCTGATCCCAGGTGTGCAGTGCGCATTTCGCACGTTTGATGTCAACCATGCTCAGAATCGCCAACGAGGTCCGAGAAACAGTCTCTCGACTGCTTCATCCAATGTAATGCATCCCGTCTATTCAACGACGATGTAGATCATTGCTTTAGTCGAAACAGCACATAGGCCCCTGCACACAAAGCATCGCCGATTAGGACTTACCAGGCCCTGAGGAGTCAATTAGGGCATAAACTACCTTGGACTTACAAAAAGCTGCTGACATCTGCTGACCGTTGGGAACTTGTGTTGGATGAACAGCCAGGGATCAATCATGAACCATCAAACTCCGGCATCCCTCTCCAACCTCATCCGAATCCTGCTGGCTCGCACCTGCACGATGAGTTTGACTCTGGCTTTCGGTTCGGAACTCGCTTTTGGTCTTCTGGCTTGTGTTTAGAGTTCGAATGTGTCGGTGACGACATTTTCGCGGTGCGCATCTTAAATTCCCAATGCCCGCTTGCGCTGCACAACTGTAGAGCCCCTACCACGCCGGCACAGAACCCACGCTAGCCTTCCTCCCCGGCATGGGCACCTCAGCGTCGCTTGATTAGCTTACAAAGAATCCAGGATCCAGTTTTTCCTGCAAACCCGGCAACCACTTCGGTTGGCTGGCGCCAAACCTGCGCATGCAAGCATCTGTGCAAAACTCTGAGCACTGAACCGATGATCTCATTCACGGGGCCCGCGGCATTGTTGGGCATAATGTGCATCGACCTGGACCGATACTCTTCGCAGTAGTTCAGCAGCCTGCTGCGTGAACCATAAAATAATTCTCTCACTACCCGTAATCGTCGTGGCATGGCCAGTGGCATGGCCTGGAGGGTGGCCGCGCGACGTGCTGCAAGGCTCCCGGCGGCAGATGCACGGGATCCTGGCGGAAGTGGTCGAGCAGCGAGCTCTTAGCGCAATTCCTGGCGCCCCGCCTCTTGAATTCCCTGGCCGAAGAAGAGCGCGGCTGCATGCGAGCGTGCCGGAGAGGCGTTCTGGCAGCTTTGGCAGCTTAATCTTGCATCTTGTCAACTTGACTTCCAGCAAGCATTTTAGCAGTGCCGGATATCCGAAAGATTGTCGCAGTTTGCTGCAGGCCAAAACATTCCCAGCTCAATCTTGGGCTCTGTCATGGCGACCGCCCCCACGGCTGCGGAGATCGCAGGCAGCAGCGCGCTGCCTGCATGAAGAAGGAATGCCAAGACTGGTTAACCCGGAGCTGGATTCGCACTCGTATCGCCTCGGCGCCAGAGCCTAAACCTACTGTTGCCTTGACTTCTTGCTGCCGTTGGCCGGACTGGTCCCTTCATGTCTCAGGTGCCAATAAGACGTGGCTGCTGCTCCCTCGGCCTCTGCCGATCTCTCTCCAGCACTTCTTCGCTTTGGAAGCGGTTTGAGGAGGAAACGACCTGTCCAAAGCAGATGTCTGACTCCTGGCTTGCGTGCAGCTCAGTGCAACGCCCAAGCAGCACTGAGCTCCCTCTTTCGATCCGCCAGTTCGCAGTCGGCATTCTTAGCAAGTCGCTACGCGTGGTTTCTTCCATGTCTGTGGTGACACAGTTCCCTTCATCTGTCCGACACCGGTGTGTCTTAGACTTTTCAATGTCATTGCTCATCACGCTTCTTCTCACGCGTCTGGCGCTTTCTCTGCCTGCATGTTGCCGATACAAGTACCGTGCGACGCAAGACTGGGCACCAGAGCAACACTTATCGGGGATATCTAAGAGTCTAGGACCCACTGATTTTAGCTACTGCATGCTACTGCTACAACTCCTTAAGACTCAATTATGCTGTCGTCTGCACCTCGTCTGGCGGAGGAGCAGCCTGCGGCCAAGCGCTTAGATCAATCAGGGTGGGTCCTGTACGATAGCGCAGTCTCCGGGCTGAGCATGCACGCTCAAGAGCCCCAACTGAGTCAGTGTAACGAGTTGTGCATCTTCGTTTGTCGTGTGTTGCCACTGAAACTGCTAGAGTTGACAAACGATTCAACATCCACCTCTTCCTTCGCTTGGCTCAATCGTGAGCGCCGTTCTTCCCTGAACTTCGCCTGTGCAGGCGGCATCTCCCTTGCGGGATCTTGCTTGAGACTGTACCGCTGCATCAGCTGCCACACGGACGTTGCCATAGCTTGTCGGGCGCACGTGACTGGTTTCCAAGTCGTACCGACATACCTTCTCAAACCCCATCAACGGCGCCAACGTTCCCAACCCGAAGCTTCCCGAATGCCATGCACGCGCCTTCTGCGCCGCGTCCACTTCCCCATCGAAGAAGGCGCCGAGCTTCGGGTTTGCCTTCATGACCTTCTCCTGTGCCAAACGATGCTAAACGCATTGGCTGCTCATGGGCACGCAGATGTACGCAGATCGCGCTGCTCTTCTGCACTGGCTACAGGATTCGAATTTTGCGGGGCAAGACACGCAGCTGCTAGACGCCGCAAGAGTCAATCCAACTCACTGGGTTCTCTCAGGCATCATTGCTACAACTCTTTCCGGCCGCTGCACCTTCCCAAGCACAAAGGGGCTAAGCGGCGGAGAGTCCTGCAGTCGAGAAACGACAACTTGACGAGAGCATGTCGCAAGCTCAAACATCAGCGTATTTCGATCAAAACGAGCCGAGGTGCCCCCAAGATGTACTTGGACCGAAGGCACTGGATGGGATTCGTCGACAGGTGCGTGGCCGCCTCCTGAAACTTATCGTGCTCATTGGCAGTGATATTTTATGTGATGTCGGCCGCGAGTTCCTTAGTCCTAGTACCCTCTGCAGCTCCGTAGCCGACATGTTCGAACACACGACTTAGCAGCCTGAGCAAGCCTTAGCAGGCTGGCGGGGCTGTCCTCCTCGGCGACCTTGGAGAACGGCATCTCGTTCGGAGCCTGCTGCAAAGTTGCACAAAGGTTTGTCGCCAGCTGCTAGCTCGGGCCCCGGACCATTCGCTTTAAAACCGATCGTAAGAGAACGTGCGTCAAACACAAAGCGGCTCTTGAGTCTCTTGGCAGCAGAGCATCCAAATTCAGCCTGTAGTATATGCGCAATCTGATTCACACTGTCGCTCTCCTACCTTGTCGGGGTCGGAACGCATCCTTGGCACAGCCACAGAGGAGTGAGGTCCAGAAGCTCGCACGAAATGCCAACAAAGCATGACGACTTGATCGATAAGGGAGACTTGTGCTGTGCAAGTGACGGCTTCACGACGAAGGTCAGCCTGAAAAAGTGCCGACTCAGGAGCACAATACTGCAGATTTTGGACGATCAAGTGAGCACACAAAGGCAATCGCTTTTCAGGTCAGGCGGCAAGGCGAGATGCACGGCGACGTGGAGAGTAAATGCTGCACCCATCGCACCCCAGAGTGTGGCACCTTTGAGCACCTGCGGTGTGCACGGCTGCAAACATCAGCGAAGCGTTGCGACAGGAAAGCGGAGCGTGAGGGGTAGAAGTGTGGAGACGTTACGGGCAGAGCCAAGCTAGTGCCAAGCTGCTCCGGAGCCAAGTCCTCCAGTGACCCCTCCACTCCACCTTGGAAGTGCGATAGCAGAAACAAAGCTGAGGGGACTTCTGGGCAGAGGAGCAGGACCTTGCTGTTGCCCTTCTACCTTTGCCTTTTGGCCGAGCATCTGGTTGATTTTGAAGACCGCACTTGCCGCGAGCACCCCAAGAGGCAAGCAAAGAAGCTGCTGTCCAAACCAGTGCACCTTTTGAATGATGGTTGCAGGCTGAAACTTTGGCAACATCTTCCTGTAGCGACTATTGCTATGATTGTGGTTTGCAGTTTCGGGCTTGTGGGAACTTCTGTTAGCATTGCATGATGCCTTTGATGCAAATTCCGCAAAGCATCACTTGCAACACGAATGAGGGCCTCATCACTGGAGAAGTAGAACTTCCGTGCCCATCGAAGCGTCTTCCAGTGATCATACCAGTAGATATACCTTGCCACATTGGAAGCTGCAAACATCTACAAAATACCACTCCCGTCAGTGGTTGAAGAAGCATATCAGCCAAGGATGTACTTCTTTCACTTGTGTTGCACGATGATGTCACTGCATCTCCTCTTCACCCGCGGACCAACAGCGAAAACATTCCCAACAACTAGGGTGCTGAGCTACCAACCTTCGAGTAAACTTAAACAAATCTGTCACAGCCTCAAGGAAGACAAACGGGGTTGTTTCTTTCAGCAGGCAACAACTCCCAAGCTTGATCCGTCCAAGTGGCAAGTGAGACACCATGAAGGTGCCATAGGTCCAAGCCATGTAAGCCTTATAGCTTTGTCCAGACAGCCAGCAGAGAATGCGAGGTATGGCCAAGACTTCATGGCAAGCCCAGTGGCTGGTGCTATGAAGGGAATGCACGCAACAAGGATGAGGTTGAAGATGATGTCCGCATATCTGCCCTGCTCCATCTCAGACCTCGGCATGAACGGCGTGAGACACGAGCGATGCCGAGAATTGGACGCTGTGCTCCTGAATGCTCTCCGCCTGCAGGACCCTATAGTAAATTAATAGTCCCCGCTGAACTGGAAGTCACTGGAATGAACTCTTCGGCCCCGCACAACTCCAGCGCGCGCTCGGCATTCTCACCCCGGACTCTCCTGCGCTGGCCAAGGCTACGGCGGCTAAGGACAAGGGATGACGACTCGGGCTTCTCGAAGCCCAGCATGTCCCCAAAAATCTAGCTAAGCGGCGCATTGCTTCGGATGAGCATGGAACCGACCTGGTAAGGGCCTCGTGCAAGAGCGGTTGTTGCAGGGGACGCACCACACGATGCCAATCCCCGGGATGATTTTTCTCGCCGATCCATGTCATGCCCCCCCCCCCCCTCAAAAAACATGTCGTTTTCCAGCACAACATGACATGGCAGGACAGTTGTAAGGTGTCTTCGCAATGCTGTGCAAGCTGAGTGCCAGAATCGAAGTGACGACTCCCAGGCCATGGTCTAATCTGCCATGACAATAAACCTTCGCGATCATGCTCTGAAGTGCTAAGCTGCTAAGGCCAGTGTCTCTTAATGTGCTTTTGATGTTCGAGCTTTGCATTAAAGCTGCGCAACACCCATGCCCTATTCTCACTGTCCCCGTGGGCTAGTCTCCCACCTAGCTGTGCCAGGAACGGCTCCACCGCAAAGGGCACCAGGAAAGTACAGGGCCAACCTGAAAGCGTCGGCTCTTCCATGCCGTTGGAGAACGAAGCCAATCAAAATGCTACAAGCGGTTTGGCCGTCTTGTAGTGTCTCATGCAAGGATCTGCGATGCTTTCCCTTTTGGGGCCCGAGTCGCAGTATTTGAACAAAAGCTTGCCCACCGATTTCTGCATCGGGAAGGACTCGAAGATCTCCTTCGATCGTGGCATGTTCATGTTCGCGGACAACAGCAGGCATAGATCAAGCTCACATACAGTACCACACATTGGCTCTGGTTCTGAAAGCAACCTCGAGTTCATGCCTGCAGAGGTCGCTGCGGGGCCCACATATTCAACCCAGAAAGTGGCCTGAAAGGTCTTTGGCCCTGATTTCTTCCGAGCATCCTGGAAGCTCTGCAAGCTCCCCAGCAGGCGGCCATCTGCCACGCGCGCGCCTACGCCGACCATCTGCAGGTAACTGAGGTAGCCTTGCGATCCCGAGTCTGTGCAAAGAGCTACGGCAGGGTGCTGGAGAGACACCACGAATCCAAATCTGAGCTTGACTTGCATCCTCGCCACCCTGGAGGGCGATGTCCATGACGAGGTTGAGAATTAAAGCAGCGTTGTAGAAGATGATGTAGACCCGGTGCTTCTGATCCTGTCGGACTTGCATACCTATTGGGTTCACGCACTTCGATGCCAACGCATTCCGGTGCGTTCGACGACGGGGGCCTCGTAGTGGCACTTGCCTCAGCATCTCGACAGCCAATAGTCAGGAGTTCTGGCCGTGATGCTGAGCATACTTGCAACGCTGCATCTTTAAAGCGCCGCCAGTGGGAATCTTGAGACATCGTGCTCCCCGAATTAGTGCACACGCTACGTCTGAGCATCGTGCACAAGTGCAAGCGAAAGCTTCCCCGGTTTCAACTGACACAGCCAGTTGCTTTCATTGCCTGCCGAACTTACCAAGCAAAGACTGCATCAACGAAAGATGCAAATTGAGGTGCATATCATGTAAACAGACTGTCGCCGTTAGAGCCGACCAGCGCTGACCGAGTAGTGCGGGCAAGTACACGAACGGACATGAGGCTTGAGATTGCAACTTTTGTTAAGACGTGCAGAATCTACGGAGGAATTCACAGCCGAGAGGGGACACAATTGTCAAGGAAGCCGAAGCAACCGAGGAAGCTCAAGCATGGATGCCTTGGCCATGCATGCGCAACTTACTTGCCGGCGCAGGCAGCCCGAAACTACAATAAATTGGTGCGGGACCAGTGTCCAACCCAAGAAGTCTCCGCTG